CATGGACACGTTGGTCCACAGAGAGGCTTGTTACAACATGCATCAACATACTGATATTGACAAGATATGCAACCATATAACAAAAGATATGTAACTCATTTCACAGACAAAATAAAACAACGATCTAATGTTCTATGGAGTGGACATTGACTGCTCACTGGATACCACTAACCATGCTTTTTGTCAATGAAAACAGATCAATTTAATGTTGTTAGATAAGAAACGTGCTGCTGTAAAATAAAAAGTGTATTCTGGTGAAAACATTACCGGGGTATTTCATGTTAGAAAATATGATGCTGTTAATATACCATAAACTGGCTTGTGTTCTCATGAAAACACTTCACTTGTTTTACCTTTAAATTTAACTTGTTTAAAAATTTAGTGAACCAACAAAACATTGTTCTTTTCTATGTTTTGTTCTACCGCTTAGTATATTTCAAAAACAATCCATGACATAACAAAATTATTTGGGATTTGAATGGTTCCATAACAGAATAGGATATTGCTGCGAGGTTATGTTAAGACAGTTGATAAGCACAAAAACTCCTTTGAGAAAAAGAGGCCCCAGTGACAATGATGTAACCTTTTCTCTGTGGTGTATTATGTGAAACTAAATATATCATTATAATTATGTGATATCGGTGATATTAGACATCACCTGTCAGACAAAGGCTGTGTTTACAACATAGATGTCCTGGATGCTTTGTACAACAATGAGATCTTAGCGCTAAGGTGATCGTAACTCCCATACCATAACCTAAACTTAGGACTGGCGTAGCGCTATGGTTGCTTTCTATAATGGCACCCTGAGGGTCTGGCCAAAGTTTTTTAATTCAGAAACAAAACATGGACTTGTATCACAGAAACTAAAGTACTGCAGAAAACTAATCACCAAAAAATGCATTTTTCTTGATTATTCTTATCTTCAGTTTGGCTTTCATGGTTCTATTCAGTGTAATTCTTATCTTCAGTTTGGCTTTCATGGTTCTATTACATGTAATAAAGATTTGGAAAGGAAAGTGTTTCACAAGATTTGTAATTTATTAGATAGGTCAGTCCAGTTGTCAGGACTTATCTAGAATTTCTGTGAATTTTTTTATGCTTACAATTGTTATCTTGCAATAAGGATTTATTGTCAACTTATATCAATCTATCACCGGAGATAGTTAAGAGGGATTACTGGAAAACAAACTATTACTGGCATCTCAATTTTAAGAAATAATGTGTTGTTACGTATACACAATGCAAGGCAGCTTAAATATCCCTGTAATATAAAACAATAAATACACAACATACATTAATTTTCACGAACATGATGAACAAGTTTCTTCGTTAAAAACATTATAATATCTGTACACAATATCTATGTACAATATCTGAAGACAAACGACTATTAAAACTATAAAAACAAGAAAATAATGATTATGCAGAGTGTTTCTCATTGTGATGTCCACATGGTAGATGCAACCTGTAAAGGGAGACAATTTGGAAATGTAACCCAACAGTTGCTTGCCACAAAACAAAATAGATATACCATATGAAGAGATGGATTTATGACTCAGAAGAGTTACAAAATCTTCATATTGTTTTGAGAACCCAGACACTATATATATTATTAAGTTACATAGATAATTTGTGCACAAAATATATTCAACTAATTTGTACTGACGAAAGCAAATAACACAAACATTTTTTAAGTTAGAGATAATATATTTTCAGAAAGCTGACTTGATTTTTATATCAGAATACTACAATCATACAGTGTGAGTGATTGAATGAGATTAGTTTTACACCGATTTTAGCAATATTCCAGCAATATCACGTCAGGGGACACCTGAACAGGGCCACTCATACAAAGAAACCATCAGCTTAATGACCCTTAATTGTAATGTATAAAACAAAATTTACTCAGCTAACCTGAAATACCTTAACCACTGTCTTAACTAATTTTATCCACTAAACATATATTAAAATATTTGCTTTCGACCTAACAATTCCTTTTTTGAATAGTAATTAAAAATAGAGATAAACAGTAATGCTCACAATAATTTCATTGGCAAGATTTTTAGGACAATGCCACATTTAGGCTGTCCATCACATTATCAGGTGACTATGGCAACAAGGATAGAGTTAAACATACACCCTGAAAATGTGGTATCATTTCTGCTGGACAGTCAATGTTCAACATCCTTAATAAGTGTCCTGACTCAGACACTACAGCATGACAAGGGCTCTCCTGATTCAGCTAAGTTGTCATACAGTGCAGGATTGGAATACCCTGAGAAAACTATTAGTGTGTCAAGTGGGTGGAGGAAAATGTGAGTAAATACCCAATTCTGTTTGATCTGCATGGTGGACTAAGTTCAGTTCAAATTAGTCAAAATAAACATAATGTACTTAAACTGAAGTTTACACAACAGTTTAGGGCTCTTGACATGGATCATCACCTACAGGCGTGTCCAGGAGGTAAGCTTCACCAGCGTGGAAATTTCAAGATTCACATGACAGTTCACAATCAACAAAGAATAACCCGTCAGAAATCAAGCTACATTACAACACTACTGAATCAGTATACATCAAAAGAATAAGAAATAATGCTGAAAGCTCCAGATAGCGTCACTACATAGTCACAACCAAACAACAAAATAATGACTAAAGTAATCTCGGACAGAAGACTGAAGTCAGGTTCTGTAGCTCACCTTATATTTCAATTAAAAACGATGACACTTTAAGGATACTGGGCTAGAATGCTAAATATACATCTTTATGGTGTTCAGTACAAATACACATTTCCTTCAAATAGTTCATGAAGTCAGTATGCTTGAAAATGTAGATGTCAGGAATTAAATGGATGGAGGTATTAGGATAGGTATTAGTATAAAAGAATATTTTTCAAAGTTCACTTCAGTGACAGTGTCTCAATTTTCAAGGAGGGCCACATGAGTTTTTGTTAATGTCACAATTTAAACTTTGTGTCAGTACTACAACATTACAGTTCCAGGAGGAATACTAGTTCCACAACGTGCCATCACTGTCAGTCTCCGAAATCCTTTCATCCTAGTCAACAAAACAGAATATACACACTATGGCATAGATTATATGGCAGTCAATGTTGTAAGGCAAGAGAAATAAACATCATTTCTCAGCCAGACATTCAAAGTTTGCATGCTTGGAGAGCGAAAAATACCAAATGGGGATAAAGCATTTCCTTCTCTGACATCTGGAAAATGATGAGGAAAGGATAACAGCGTTCTCTGTGTATTCAACATACAAATAATACACTTTTGCAATGGTGCAGGCTTCCAAACTGAAAACAAAACATCCACTCGGTCAACCATTTTGAGTTGGTATATATCTTCTCAAGTCAATGCAGAATACGCCTGGGATTACTTCATACTTCAGACAATATATTTTCAGCCAATGCCTACATCATTAATTTTCTTCTTTGAATAAGTGAATCTCAACTGTTTTTGGAGACCCAACTTATTGTCCTGGTAATGTTTTTATTGATAAAATCTGACAACAAATGACTTTTTCAAGAAATTTAAGGAAGGCATAAGCAGGGATTGGGAACTTTGACAATGGGACATTTTCAGGATTATTAACCATTTTCTGAATTTAGAATGGGCCACTGCCCTTGTATCAATAGTAAACTTCAAAATTTTAACGGACCATTTTTTATTCTAATGTGCAACTTGGCCCATGGCCCCTGCCTTTCCCAATCCCTGCATAAGTTTAACCCCCCAAAAATCATGGTTCCCCTGCTAAAATGAGAACGTTGCACTTCGATTGTTCCTTCAAATAAGAAATGTTTAAGTTATTTTATCAAGAAATAATAGGCTTTATAGACTTTACACAGGAAGATTTTGGCTTTGGAGCAAACTGTACAGAACAAACCAGCGGGAAGCGCATGCTGAGCTACCATGTAACAGGAAGCTGTGGTTTGACATTTACAAAAATTTGGTTACAACTTGAAGACCGTAGGAACAGCAAACATATACAAGATGAATATTGTACAAAACATTTTATATTCTAAATCATGAAAAATTACTTGTGTTTGATAAAACACAAAACTATTTCAACATAAATAGTTTGTTTACATATAACAATGCCTTACTTTTACTTCAACTGGCAGTCAGCAATATCGCAGCACAAGGTCATACACAATAACATCAGTCAAGTACCCTGACTACAACATACAGTATCCATGGCAACAGTGGAGGGAATTGGTAACATATTTAGGAAAAATATTGTAATCTTGGATAGTCGTTTCATCAAAATTAAATCCCATGCCACCATTTTCAAAATAATCATCTTATCTCTAGCAGGATGAGGAGAAACAACACCTTGCACTAGTCAGGACGTAAACTTTGATCAACAGTTTCTACTGCAACAGCAAAAGTCAGCCCAAACAGTAGACCAGCTGTGGTTTACCATCATACCAACAGTGTTATCATGGTAAGAAAGTACAGCCAAGGATAGGAGACTTGACTAACTAGAAACTATGCTTCGCTAAAACACAATCTTCATGGTCATTGAAAAAGTATCAAATGATGATCTTGATATAAAGAATGATAGACGTAAAATTGTCTGAAGAACCATATGTAAGTTTGAATGAGTGAGTGAGTGAGTGAAACTTAACACCACTTTGAATAGTATTTTCAGTTCAGATAAACATTTTGAGAGGAAAGCCCAAAGTCATACATGTTAGGGACATGTAGCACTATCTTGAACCCCTAAACCCAAATATAGTGCTGAGATGATAATAAGGACAATCTTGGATTCAAACCACCAGATCTTAACACAAGGGACAGGGATCCTATCCACAAAGCATTCGTAGCACTATGACTGACTGACTGACTGAGTTTAGTTTTACGCCGCTTTTAGCAATATTCCAGCAATATCACGGCAGGGGACACCAGAAATGGGCTTAACACATTGTGCCCATGTGGGGAATCGAACCCGGGTCTTCGGCGTGACGAGCCAACGCTTTAACCACTAGGCTACCCCACTGCCCCTCGTAGCACTATGTCATTTGTAAGCCAATGATAAAGTATAGAGTTATGAAAGGTCATAATGTTAAGAACGCTTTGTGGCTTGGATCCCAGATCCTGATGTCAAAGATCATCACTTCACAGCACTCACAAGAGAATGACTTATACTGTATACCCTGTATACAGTCTCTAGAGAAGCTACAAGAGTTGGTAAGATGCTGAGAAGATACTGCCTACTCAACCGCTTGTATTGATATGTTCATCGTAGGTTAATATTGAAAATAAACTCAGACTCTGCAGTGAAGATGAGTGAGTATGGTTTTACATCGCTTTTAGCAATATTCCAGCAATATAATGGATGGGAACATCAAAAATGGGCTTCACACATTGTATCCATGTTGGGAACCAGGTCTTCGGCGTGACGAACAAACGCTTTAACCACTAGGTTACCTGACTGCCCCAGTGAAGATATGAAAGTTTAAGAACAGACAAAACAAGGATTTGGTATGAACTGCAACAAATCCCCTTGTGGAAGCTGGAGAGTGATGTTGAGCTGTTGACTTGGTCCTTCATGCAGCATTGTAGATGCCAGTCCAGAGGTGCCATTGTTAAAGTCTTGGAAGTGCAAGGAGGGTGGCAGGCAGAGTTACTGCAGATATAAACAAGAAGATAAAGTCATCAATATCCCCCGTAATGGCAAAATACTCTTCATCAATATACGAGTTATGATTATGTCAAATGTTTTGGTGTGTATATAGCTAAGTGGAAGGAGAGTACTGAAAGGTTTCAAAGTTCTGCTCCAGAAAGGAGCACTACCAAAATTGTTGCCATGGAAATACAAATAAAATATTTTATTCAGAAATCCACAAAAGGCACCAGTTCACCACTAGACCTACCTATGTATGAAATTTGGTGATGAAACATTGAACAGTTTTTAAGTTCTGTTCTGGGAAAAGAGCACTACCGGCAATTTCAGTCAAAGTGAAACTTGTTGCCATGGAAACGCCAAAAATATCTTATTCAGAAATCCAAAACTACCAAAAGGCACCAGTAGACCACCAGATCTATCTATGTACCAAGTTTGGTGAAGAAATATTGAACGGTTTTAAAGTTATGCTCTGGAAAAGACAAATGTGAAGGGATGCATGGAAGGACAGACAGAGTCCATTTTAATACCCCCCCCAAAACGCATTGCGGGAGATAACAATGTGGAACACGATGTGAAAAAACGTGCAAGAAACTCAGGAGGCCTCAACAAATGAGTGGGAAAATGATGCTTCTTTGTCAGGAAAATTATGTAATTATCCCTGCCAGACCAGTCAAATCAGTGGTTGACATGTGAGCAACCAATTTTCAGAGTTGATGCACTATCGTCTTAGTTCAGACAAGCTTAGTGTGAGTGATTAGGCCTAATGATTTGAACATATTTTTCAGTTGTATCTAAGCAATATCACAGCATATGTCACAATATGGGTAATATAGACAAATAGAAATAGGCGGATGCCGGTAAAGAAGACCAGATGCAACTACACATACATCACTATGGCAACTATGCATAACACTTCTTTTTTCTTAAACATATTTTTATATTGCAGTGTTATTCATTACATAACAATGTTCCTTGTTCCTTGTGTAATGCCTGTCAACAATTCTACTAGATTAAGACAGAAAGACCCGCGGAGTGTTACAAGGTGCTGATTCTAGAATCATCTGGGAGAATTGTAGAATTTTCTAGTAGCTTATTCTTAGGTATTTAAGGAGAGATGGCTACAGCCTCTCATCTCACATATCAAGGTACCAACAGACCAGCATTGTGTAGATACACTTCTTAGTTGCAAGTTGAATTATTGTTGCTGCGAGGTGAATACAGAGGTACAGATAAGCTGCGTATCTGCGTAAATTTCGCAAATATTTATGTCAATTCCTATTATGTCTATTGCATACAAGTACGCGTTTGAGTTTTTGTACTTCATTAAATTTTTACAATTAATGGAAAATGGCAAAATACCCAATTGAGTTTCAGTGAGGTGGGTACAATTTATCAGGTTACTCAAAGGAAAATTAGGATACCCAATTGAGATGAACACAAGCGAGTACATAACTCAATGACCCCAAAAGTTATCTGTAGCTCTGTGAATACTACCATCACTTGTGTTTGATCAAATTTGAGTGAGTCTGAGAGAGTATGGTTTTACGCTGCTTTCAACATTCAAGTAATATCACAGCAGGGGATACCAGAAATGGGCTTCACACATAGTACCAATGTGAGGAATCGAACCCGGGTCTTCAGCGTGATGAGCGGGGTTAAGCCTTGTGGTTAAAGCGTTCACTCGTCAAGCTGAACACCTGTTTCGATTCACATTCGTACAATGTGTGAAGCCCATTTCTGGTGTCCCCTGCCATGATATTGCTGAATATTGCAAAAAGCAGCATAAAACCATACTCACTCTCACTCACTATGGACTGATTACGGGGTAACATATTTATGAATACACAGCACCATTTAGAAAGTGGTCAAATGTAACATATGTCATATTTGAGATACACTTTCTCAGTAAAGTATAGATTCTAGTTCTTTAGTTGGGTTGAGTCCCATCTGGGATTCGAACTCACACCCTCAGAGTCCAGCACCTAATCGCCAGCACACAAAGTCAGCCGCCTCACCTGCTCAGCCACCACGACTTCCACAAGAATCTGTACTTTACTGAGAAAGTGTAATCCCAAATATAACATATGTATACATTTGACCACTTTCTAAATGGCATTGTGCACTCGGCCCTGGGAACACGTACCAATTTACACTTATCAGCGGGGTACACAAAGTCTGCAGTCTAGACTACAAAATGGAAGTTGCGGTGGCTGAGCGGGTGTAATCCTGATATAACATATGTAACTTTTTTTTAGCAATATCAACATCGCTTACCTCTCAGTCCTTAAATAAGTTCTGTTGAACATAGAAATTATTTAGAGTGTGAACCTACCTCAATGAGTTTGATTGAGTTTTCAGAGAACACACGAGATGGAAACCGTGAGTACTTCATATTCAGCTCATCACCAAGCTCGTCAATGATGACCAAGGCCTGCAGGGGACGAAGGAACAGGTCAGTGAAGGGGTAAATCAAACATGAATGGTGTCTTACCATAATCTTGCCATAAATTAAAAGAACATATACACTATGATTAAAAATAATAGAAGGTTTAAAACTACCTTGAATGCTTTGGGACTTACATACCCTCTCAGAACAATAATTTTACAATACTTCAACTCCCTTTGAGGGTACAGCCACTAACAATTTCAGTTACTAATCTAAGACACCTAAGGGAGACAAGCACTGAGGGTTGGTTGGTTGTTATATGGCAGCAGTCTGTAAATAATTGAGTCTGGACTAGACAATCCAGTGATCAACAGCATGAGCATTGATCTATGCAATTGGGATATGATGACATCATACATAATGAGTCAGTCATACAGAAAGTGCTACATTTCTCACAACTTACTGTGTCCAGCATCTCTTTGGTGTGAGCAGCAGACAGACAGAACCTGGCCCGAGATTTAATGATAGGAGTAGCTGGGAATCCAACCACCACAGTTCCCAGACCTCGCTCTAAGGCCATTCTGTTGAAGGCACTGTAACAAAGTAATTCTTTCTGAATCGTGTTTCAGGGACTGAACATCATTCTTAACAAGAATTAATTGTTGTTGGGTCAAAATCATAGTGACATACTTGACAAAGTGATACTCTTATGTACATAAAATGGTATTTTACAAGAAAGTGTTTTTTTATAAGACTGTGGCATTAAATTACTTACGCTATTTTGGATGGTAAGAATATAAGCACAGGCACAACTGGAGAATCCTTATTGCCATAGACAATGAAGCCCATCTCTTGGAGTCTGCGACGAAAGTAGCGGACATTCCAAGCCAGCTGTCGGACACGTTTTTGACCTGAGGACAAACAAGAAACACCTACTCAGAGTGTACATAAGTATGAGATCTCTCAGCAATCTTGCAACAATCAACACAATAAACATGGAGAATGTGAATGTCAAGAAGTAAGGCAGAGACTGCTTCCAATAGTTGCCCAGTTCACCAGACGTCTGCTACGTAGGGGAGGAAAGCCTTTGGTGATGGAGGTCTTTACGAGGTATTTACGAGAGGCTATCAAAAAGTTTTGAGCCTAAAATACTTCTGACATGTGCATGATAAAATAACTGTATGATATTACATAGTGGCTTAGATCATTCACATGAACGTAATATTGACATGCACACGTTGCTAGTTTCCGGTCACGTGACATCTGATCACATGTACCCCTATTGAAACGGCAGTAATGTATAAGTTTGAGTACAGAGCAGTCATAAAGGTTTTGGTCCTCGAGGGCCACCTGTCGAAGCACACTGAAGAGAGATTGACAGCGATCTGAGTACCCCATGGGTTACCCTATGTTTCTGGCATTTTTGATAGGGGTACATGTAATTAGATGTCATTTTTTTTATAGCCCCTCGTACCTCTTGGATGAAGCACACAAGCACTGATATTGTGATGACAAATCTAGAAACGTAATCATGGTGAATTTGATCTCATTATCATTGGATTCTTGCACCCAAAAGGGACACTACTCTGCATCATGATTTGTCAAGCCTCAAGGTGATTTGGCCATTAATCACCCCTATCAACTCAAAAGTAAGAGTGATGAGCTTAAAATCACACATCACATTGTGTCAGACAAATGTTAGGAATTTACATGGGAGAAGAAACAATAAACTTGAGAAGAATGAGTGAGTGAGTGAGTTTAGTTTAACGCCGCTTTTAGCAATATTCCAGCAATATCATGGCAGGGGACACCAGAAATTGGCTTCACACATTGTAACCATGTGGGGAATCAAACCCAGATCTTTGGCATGATAAACAAACGCTTTAACCACTAGGCTAGCCCACCACCCCACTTGAGAAGAAACCAGCAATGCCAAGTCTGTTGCTGACATACAGTGTATCAGAGATTTGAGTCCATTACCAGGTGATCCTAACACAGATATGGGACACAACTCTTTCCAGACAAAGGGCCCAATCACAAAATTAGGAATGGGTGAAAACAACAAATGCAGAAATTGACCTACCGAGGTTAGTTCCATCTCTGCCCATGATGATCTTCATTGAGTGGATGATCTGCCTAGCTACAGGAGGGGAGATGGCACAAGAATAGATGGCGCTGTGGGAGTTCACTTTCAAGTGGTTGATGAGGCGCTGATAACATAAAAAGTGTGTGTGTTAGCTATAATGTCATAATATTTGAGTCATATCACAGCGTGAGAGATAGACATACAAGAAAGCCAGAAGCATTGGAATGCAGACTAGGGATCTTTACTCCTGTGTCAGGCTCTCCCAAGGGGAGCAACTCTGTATGGCATTGCTCCACAATACTGCAGAGAAAAACCCACATAACAAAATAATCCGGTTCTTTCACAAAGTTTGGAATTAAGGCATACTGAAAGTGAGTAGGTGTGTTTGCAATACTTTGAACAATTTTATTTTCACTTTTACATTTTTTTTATGTCAAATTATGAAAAGATTACTTAAAAAACAAGGGGTTTTTTTCTTCCATTTTTGGATAACATGTTTTGGGATGGAAGTGTTTATTTGTGCAATAATGAAGTGTGTTGCATCACACAGACATTGTAAATAATCATAGGATGGATTGTTTTTAAGATAAAGTTGTCTTATGTGTTAGTGAGATCTTGTACAGCAAGAAAACAAAGATTTTTAGCGTCTGAAATTCATTAACTGAGAATACATTAAACACAACTGGTAGTGAATTCAGTGCGGTCAAAATATCATCATAAACTGCTGAAGAAGGAAGGAGGGAAAGTAGACCAAACCTGGGAACTTTGACAAAGGTAAATAAGACATCCCAAACTAATATCTCATCCAAGGATATTAGTCCTTTACTCATCCAAGACGATATAAACATACTGGTCATGAGATTCAAGCAATGAGTCAGTCCAATGTTTTTAGTTAATTCCTTGAAACCAACCTTAGTTCCTCCAATGTATCCTCCAGCTGCACCAAAGCTCTTGGTGAATGTACCCATCAACACATCCACGTCTCGTGGGTCGACATTGAAGTAGTCTACAACACCGCGGCCGCGTGGCCCCATGGCTCCGATACTGTGAGCCTCATCCAGGTAGATGTATGCCTTGTACTTCTTCTTCAGGGCAATGATCTCAGGAAGACGGACGACTGACCCTTCCATGCTGAAAATAGACATGCCTTGACCTGAGAAAAGCTGATATACAGATCATGCCAATAGTTCACAAAGGTTTGCACAGACAAGGCGCAGGTTTTCCATTAAGAGAGGCAGCAGTTAAAGTCTCCGCGAATGTATTCCTTTATTGTAATATTGCCCAACCTGTCACCGCAGATAAGAACTCGACCCAATCTAAACCCTTTAAATATAGTCTCCGGACCTGAACCTTTAATAATTCTTTCCTACTTTCCCACCTTTCAAGTCTTCCCTACCTGTACCCATGTCAAAGTCTTCCCTACCTGTACCCACGTCAAAGTCTTCCCCATCTGTACCCACGTCAACATCTTCCGTACCTGTACCAGTGTTTCCGGTGGTTTTGAAAATTACCGGCGGCTTATGCCGACGGGGTCTGAAAATTCCGGCTGAACTAGTTTTTATCCGGAGACAAAGTAATCAGTATTCGTAACGATATACTGTTAATAAATGTGTTGAAAAGTCTGCCGTACGTGTTGCTTGTTTTTTAGAAAATGTTCATTAGACCTACAGCGTCCTGACAAAAGTATTCGCGATTTGGCATATATAGCCGTTCGACTTTGATTGAAACGTCTTGTATTTTGTCACAATCAGAAAATGAAAGCGGTCCAACTAAATTCGATAAATGTGTTCAGAATGTCATTCGCTATCTAAATGCCTGTGAAATGTGCAAATAATTAGTGTTTATATACCTGTGGTGAACTTCAATCTACGTTTCACGAGTTGAAAACCATTCTCGGACACATGCTTCGGCAGCGGGTCCACAATAACATTGTCAAAGAGCAAAGTAATGATGTTTCGAGGAATTCATTAAATAAATTGAATAGACTAATGAATAAAATCAACAACAACATTCATAAAAGTTGTCAAATGTACATATAAAATTACTATTTCCATCTTTTTGTGCGATCATGTAATGTAAGTCAAGTCACTGACAACGCTCGGACACGATGTTTAATGAGAAAATATATACATGAAGCATTTTTGTCACAGGTCATAACCTAGCACGATACGTCCAATAAGTTCCATAATTTACGTATAGGTAGCGATTTCTTGCTTAATATGTTCAGAATAGCATTATTTTACCCAAAACTTTTGTCTAAATCTAAAGGCTTTCGTTTACGAGGACGGTAACCATTGCCGTAATATGATTGGCTGCTTTAGGTCACGTGTCTGATTTTGACCAATTACGACCCTTATAGCAGACTGTGGCGAAAAAGCGTCATTAGAAACCAATCTTTATCCAATAAAATCGCTTCTTACAACTGTGAAAAAGCTCTAGAGTCTATATTTAGATGTGGGATTGCCACCCTAGTTTTCAATACGTTTGCATAATGATCTGAAGAGAACAAAGAATAAACAAAGACATTGTTATTAAATCTGCCGATAAAAGGCAACTTTCAGCAATACAAAATTTACCGGCGGCAGCTACCGACGGCAGTTGAAAATACCGGATCTTCACAATTTTTATCGGTAAAAATCCGGTAATTACCGGAGAACGGGAACACTGTGTACCCATGTCAACATCTTCCGTACCTGTACCCATGTCAACATCTTCCCTGCCTGTACCCGTGTCAACATCTTCCCTACCTGTACCCGTGTCAACATCTTTCCTACCTGTACCCATGTCAACATCTTCCCCACCTGTACCCATGTCAACATCTTCCCCACCTGTACCCATGTCAACATCTTCCGTACCTGTACCCATGTCAACATCTTCCCCACCTGTACCCATGTCAACATCTTCCCCACCTGTACCCGTGTCAACATCTTCCCCACCTGTACCCATGTCAACATCTTCCCCACCTGTACCCATGTCAACATCTTCCCCACCTGTACCCATGTCAACATCTTCCCTACCTGTACCCATGTCAACATCTTCCCCACCTGTACCGATGTCAACATCTTCCCCACCTGTACCTGTGTCAACATCTTCCCCACCTGTACCCATGTCAACATCTTCCCCACCTGTACCCATGTCAACATCTTCCCTACCTGTACCCATGTCAACATCTTCCCTACCTGTACCCATGTCAACATCTTCCGTACCTGTACCCATGTCAACATCTTCCCCACCTGTACCCATGTCAACATCTTCCCTACCTGTACCCATGTCAACATCTTCCCTACCTGTACCCATGTCAACATCTTCCCCACCTGTACCTGTGTCAACATCTTCCCTACCTGTACCCATGTCAACATCTTCCCCACCTGTACCCATGTCAACATCTTCCCTACCTGTACCCATGTCAACATCTTCCCCACCTGTACCTATTCCTGTGTCAACATCTTCCCCACCTGTACCCGTGTCAACATCTTCCCCACCTGTACCCATGTCAACATCTTCCCCACCTGTACCTGTGTCAACATCTTCCCCACCTGTACCCATGTCAACATCTTCCCTACCTGTACCCATGTCAACATCTTCCCCACCTGTACCTGTGTCAACATCTTCCCCACCTGTACCCGTGTCAACATCTTCCCCACCTGTACCCATGTTAAAGTATTCCCTAGCTTTACCCATGTCAAAGTCTTCCCCACCTTTACCCATGTCAAAGTATTCCCTACTTTTACCCATGTCAAAGTCATCCCTACTTTTACCCATGCCAACATCTTCCCCGCCTGTACCTGTGTCAACATCTTCCCCACTGGTACCTGTGTCAAAGTCTTCCCTACTTGTACCCATGTCAAAATCTTCCCTACTTGTACCCATGTCAAAGTCTTCCCTACTTGTACCCATGTCATAGTCTTCCCTACTTGTACCCATGTCAAAGTCTTCCCTACTTGTACCCATGTCAAAGTCATCACCATCTGTACCTATGTCTACGGCTCCCCTCCCTGTACCTGTTTAAAAGTCTTTCTTATCAGTGCCATTCTTTATCAATCTCCCCTCCCTGTATCCTTATAACAAGTTTTCAATTCCCATACCCACTTTTGATACTCATCCCTAGCTGTACCCCTAATGTAAGTTCTGCCTACCTGTACACCCCTTCTACAACAATGAGAATCTTCTTCCAGGGTCGGTGAGTACGAGGCTGCCCATGGACAACAGCGTCACAGAGTTTCTTTTCTAAATCCTTCATATCTAAAAGAAGAAACATTTGTGTTCATCAATACCCAATGAAGAGACAAGACTTTGCAGCATGATTCCATCAGCAAATAATGATATATCAAAACAGATCCGTCTCCAATCTGTGAGCGAGGTGATGTAAGTATGTTTAGTTGTATCCCGCTTTCAGCAATATTCCAGCAATATCACAACAGGAACACCAGAAATGGGCTTCACACATTGTACCCATGTGGGGAATCGAACTCCGGTCTTCGGCATGATGAGTGAATGCATTAACTACTAGGCTACCCTACTTCACCTTGAGGTGATGTGAAACATTGAGTTCAACATTATTTCACTACCAGTATATACTGACATGAAAAAAAAATACATTCAAGCACCATTGTGTCAAACTAACTGTGGTCTTGACGTAAAAGCTTGGTTCCTTTGCATGGTTTTTTTAATTACCTTCGATACCTCGAAGTAATCATGTAGGTCACTTCCACACATCAGTGTTTGACTGTATCTTGCCTCATTTTAACATGGATATCAGTCAGTCTCTGATTTTAACTCTGATCTGACCAGTCCTTGTTGCATCCAGGGTAACAACAAGTTTCAACATCTATCCGAAAGAAACAACACAGGCAACGTGGCACAGGGGATTTAACCACTGAATTTCCACTCTCTATGGTGTCGTTGTACTAAGCAATCTTAGGCCAAATAAAATGTTGTGGTTCCGATTACAGCTCAATTAAATGTTGGGGTTTTTTTACAGTTTTTTTTAGAAGTAAAGTACAAACTAATAACACATTTATCAATGTGTAATTGTTTATTTAGTCAAGCTTGCGGCCATCATGTCGAGTTTCTCTATCAGAATGACCGATGTCTGTCGGTGCCGGAAGAAAAAAAAGGTATCTGAATGCTTATTTAAATTCATACTGCTTAAAAAAATAAAGGGTCGGCACCAGAATTCAAGGGTCGGTCGGGTAATTGGAAGCACAACATTTGTTTTTTAGGCCTTAGGGCTAAGGTGATCGTAACGCACATACCTTAACATAGACATAGACTCGTAGCACTAAGGTTGTTTTGTACAACAGAACCCAGGGATATTTATAAGCTGAACTATGGAGGCAGCCCTTATCTCTATGTGGGAATGGTTTTCTCCCACTTTTAATGATGGAGGACAGCAAGTCTTGTACCACATTGGAACCAAACCGAGGTTTAACAAACCAACTATTCATAAACCATCTACGGCCCAAGTTTCCAAATCAACATTTGAAGTGGATAAGGACAAGCATAATTGTTGAGAATTGGCTACGATAAGAGATAACACTTACAAATTAACAGAATTGTATTCCATGAATATGACAAGTGTTTGCCACTAATATGGCAATGTCCCCAATCGCTAAAGAAGAATGAAATATTTATAACATATTTACTACTTTTTATTTTTTGGTCACATACAAGAAATGACTGGTGTCTGCATAATCACCCAATGTAGGCTGCCGACATAATTGAAGACATTGGGTGCAATGTTTTATGAGATATTGCGTTTACATAAGTTTGAAAAGTGGTCAAAGTGTCGTGGTGACCTTGAAGATAAGGTCAAGGTCATCCAAATCAAATGATGCCTGCGTAATCCCCCAGCGGAGGCTGTCACCAAATTTGAAGATATTGGGTACTACAGTGCACAAGATATTGCATTAAGAGTTTGAAAAGTGGTCAAAGTACCATGGTGACCTTGGAAATAAGGTCAAATTCACCAAAATCGACTTGTGCCTGCGTAATCCCCAAGTGTAGGCTGTCACCAAATTTAAAGACATTGGGTACAACAGTTCATGACATATCGCGGTAACAAGAGGTTGAAAAGTGGTCAAAGTGTCGTGGTGACCTTGAAATTATGCTCAAGGTCACCAAAACCGACTGGTGTCTGTGTAATCCCCTAATGTAGGCCGTCACCAAATTTGAGATATTGGGTGCAACAGTTCATGAGATATTGTATTAACAAGAGTTTGAAAAGTGGTCAAAGTGTCATGGTGACCTTGACGATAAGGTCAAGGTCACCAAAATTGACTGGTGTCTGCATAATCCCCCAGTTAGACTGTCACCAAATGCGAAGACATTGGGCACAACAGTTCATGAGATATTGCGTTAACAAGAATCGGACGTACGGAGGGACACCGCTGAATACATTGTGAGTGAGTGAGTTAATATTTATCGCCACATCGGCAATATTTCAGCCATATCGTGACGAGAACAATTAACGATTATATCATAGATCAATAAGTAGAAATTAAAATCCTGTTGACTGAATACATAATCGCCCGTTCCGCGTTGCGGCTTGGGACAATACACCAAAATCCATGAATGGCTATACATTGACGTGATTTTCAATTCTAGCAAGACATTGTGTGATACTCGATTCTGATTGGCTGAGAGCTCATCAAAACCGTACTTAAATGGGAGCTTAATACCACTAATTAAACTGTGACCGATTCACCGCGTATGAATACAACGAACTCGTTGATACTATTGTTTGTAAGCAAACATGTCGGACATCGGCAATTTCTATCTCAGCAGCATCTTTGATGTTTTTGAAGTAAAAAGCGAATGGTTTGAAGAAGAATTTCTTGACCCTAATCCCAGTGAAGAAACTAAGTAGCTGGAAAATCCCTCAGCAGCGTAAAAGCGACAGTATATTCAAACCGGGTCCAGATCTAGCGGGCATGACGTCGACAACACACACACTCTCAGCCAATCAGAATCGAGTATCACACAATGTCATGCTAGAATCAACGATAAAGGACCGCAAAATTGAAAACAGAGTAGCTTTATCTTCTAAATCAAAAAGGAAATATTGAACAAGTGATAGTAGACACTACAGAGGAATGAACATCAACCATCAATTACCTATTCATTTATGATTGCCAATAATTACTTACTGTTATGTTTGTACACTCTGATTGTGGCACCACTGAGCCGCGAGCCCAGCACCAGGGAGGCGTGGTTCAGCTCATCACTCAGAATGAGGCAGCCCTGTAACATCCATACACAACTCTTCTGAACATCTCCAAATATACATAACACAAAGCCTTGAAAACAGCCAGGCATACAGGCCTGCAGCATATGGTTAAAATATGTCCATCCAGAGTTTTTGTTTTGCATTTTGGAAGATTGAGAATGGGAAACAGCATCAGAGATGCCAACCCTATTTTGGGCCTAAGTGTTATACTGGAGGTCAAAAAGTGTAATTTGAACCTAAAACGTGTAATACTTAAAACACTTACATAGTGAAAAGGTGATAACTTTATAAAAATTACTTTTAAAAAGGTTAATTCACATGAATAGGAAAGATTCTAGACAGAAATACACGTGACCAATCATTATGCAGTGCCATACATAAACAATTGTTGGTCAGGTGACACAAAATACTTTAATTCCTTACAAGTTAATTTGAATGAGCGCAATGCTAAGAGTAAGCGATTCCTATCGGTGTAAGGCCATTTCTGAACCCCTGCACTAGTGCGTTACGAAAAATATTCCCTGTGAAATTTTATCCACTTTATTGATTTTCGCAAAACGGGTAGAAAAGCGTAATTTTCACAGATTAAGTGTAATGGCGTGATTTAATTGTCAAAATCGTAATAATTACACCCAAAGCGTAAGGGTAGGCATCTCTGCAGCATTGGGCTCATCCACTTGAATATTCAGCATCACCATATTGTTCAGATATATTAATCATGACAGTACTACTTTGGTTCCCCATGCTGGCAGTTAGTTGGACAAAAATATGAATATTATGTCATCTGTCTCCTAGCTGTTAGAACTTTAACATGCATTGGGGAAAAAATGCTACTATACAACAGCATGTGTGAAGCTTGTGAAAAGAATTGAATGTGAATCATGCATTTGTGTGCTATGTCTAGAACCATGGTTTCCATTGAAGTTACAGAAAATTAACACTCAAGCTTTTGAAACAGTGATTTAATCTTTACAGCAAAAGACAAAGAGACCATAAAATACGTTAATCCTAGTCATTAGTTAGTTACCAATCGATATCTAACATATACCAGAGAACTGGAACTGTGATCCAAATTTTAATAATCACATGTCAAGATTTTGCTGCCATTTTCTTGAAGTAAAAAACCCTAAAGGTTGTCAAACAGACTAAACACTGATGTTGGCTGCAGACTCCTGTTCTCTAACCTTATCCACCAGGGCAGGCATATTCATGGAGTTGGTGGCGAAGCCCATTGGGAAGGTGACAGACGCCTCAACTCCCAGGAATTCAGCCATCAGGTCATCCAGCTCCTTGTGAATTTCCAAATAACCTGCCAACAGAAGATGATTATATTTGGATTGTTAAGAAGAATATACAAACCAGGTAACATAGTTTAGCTGTTTTTATTCCATATATTCATGCAGTTCCTGTTGATTCTCTCTCTCTCAAAGAGACAGGCGCACAGCAAGCGAAACAGAGAACAACTTACCTAGTTCATAATAGCAATAACTACCAAATTGGTTTATGGTTCCAGGAGGTATGGACAAACCAGGTAATATATTTCAGTGCTTCCTGCCGTTCCTGTCGACTGTCACACAACTCACCCAGTTCCTGTCTACCGACACACCCACTCCCCTTCTCCACACAACTTACCTGGTTCCTGTCTACTGGAACTCCTTCACACAACTCACCCAGTTCCTGTCTACCGACACACCCACCCCCCTCTGCCACACAACTCACCCAGTTCCTCCCACCCCTCCTCCACCACACCACCAACACACACATACACACCCCCCTCCTCCATACAACTCACCCAGTTCCTGTCTAATGACACCCATCATACACACCCTCCTCCATACAACTACAACTCACCCAGTTCCTGTCTACTGGCACATACACCCACCCTCCTCCCTCCTCACCCAGTTCCTGTCTACCGACACCCACACCCACCCCTCCTCCATACAACTCAGCCAGTTCCTGTCTACTGGCACATACACCCACCCCTTCCTCCCTACAACTCACCCAGTTCCTGTCTAATGACACACGCCCCACCCTCCTCCATACAACTCACCCAGTTCCTGTCTACTGGCACATACACCCACACCTTCCTCCCTACAACTCACCCAGTTCCTGTCTAATGACACACCCACCCCTCCTCCACACAACTCACCCACACCCACCCCCTCCTCCATACAACTCACCCAGTTCCTGTCTACTGGCACATACACCCACCCTCCTCCATACAACTCACCCAGTTCCTGTCTAATGACCCCCCTCCTCCATACAACTCACCCAGTTCCTGTCTACTGGCACATACACCCACCCCTCCCTACAACTCACCCAGTTCCTGTCTAATGACACCCCCACCCCCTCCTCCACAACTCACCCAGTTCCCTACTGGCACATACACCATACAACTCACCCAGTTCCTGTCTAATGACACACACCCACCCCCTCCTCCATACAACTCACCCAGTTCCTGTCTACAATCCTCCATACAACACACCCACACACCTTTCCTCCATACAACTCACCCAGTTCCTGTCTAACCCACACACACACCCACACCTTCCTCCATACAACTCACCCAGTTCCTGTCTACAACACCTCCTCCATACAACTCACCCAGTTCCTGTCTACAGACACACACACCCACCCTTCCTCCATACAACTCACCCAGTTCCTGTCTACACCCACACACACACCCACACCCACCTCCTACAACTCACCCAGTTCCTGTCTGACACACACAACACCCTCCTCCATACAACTCACCCAGTTCCTGTTCCTCTAGCTGACTACACCAACCCCCTCCTCCATACAACTCACACACACACCTTCCTCCATACAACTCACCCAGTTCCTGTCTACTGGCACACACATCCACACCTTCCTCCATACAACTCACCCAGTTCCTGTCTACCGACACCCACACCTTCCTCCATACAACTCACCCAGTTCCTGTCTACCGACACCCACACCTTCCTCCATACAACTCACCCAGTTCCTGTCTACCGACACCCACACCTTCCTCCATACAACTCACCCAGTTCCTGTCTAATGACACAGGCCCACACCCTCCTCCCTACAACTCACCCAGTTCCTGTCTACTGGCACACACACCTACACCTTCCTCCATACAACTCACCCAGTTCCTGTCTAATGACACACGCCCACCCCCTCCTCCACACAACTCACCCAGTTCCTGTCTACCGACACACACACCCTCCTCCATACAACTCACCCAGTTCCTGTCTACTGGCACACACACCCACACCCTCCTCCATACAACTCACCCAGTTCCTGTCTACTGGCACACACCCACACCCTCCTCCATACAACTCACCCAGTTCCTGTCTACTGACACACACACCCACACCCTCCTCCATACAACTCACCCAGTTCCTGTCTAATGACACCCACACCTTCCTCCATACATCTCACCCAGTTCCTGTCTACTGGCACACACACCCACACCCTCCTCCCTACAACTCACCCAGTTCCTGTCTACTGGCACACACGCCCACACCCTCCTCCATTGTTGTGACCTCACAGGCATCCGCACAAGGCCCTTTGTTCTCTGCAAAACCCAGGTAATTGTACGACCCAAAGTTCAATGCAGGTATCTTCCTGCCAGTAAGGCTGAAATAGACAACAACAAAAAATTCCTATGAAAGTTAGTTAAAAAACAAAATTAAAATGATAAGCTTCGGATACTTTCAACAACTGATATGTATCAAACACGATACTGGAAAACTGTTGCTAAGTATAACAGGTTCACGTAATAGGAGTTTGTTCTTTTGCAATAACATTCCCAACTCAAGTGAGGAAATGCTTTTACAGACAGTGTGCGAAATAGCTACTTGCCTGATAGCCAGTGGCTAGTAAAAATTCCATCAGGACAGTAAATCTCCACAGTCACTCGCCCGACTGGCTAGTGAATTTTATGGGGTCATTTTGTAAATTTATCACTCTCTTCGACTTACTGAGTTAAAATACTTTACATCATGCAAGATTTTGGCCCGATAAAAGTGTTCATCATATCAGCAGCTTAATGAGGAAACCCGTGTCATGCCAACAACATCCTACTTATTTTCATCTATTTTTATAATCTTTTGCTTAGTTTCTACATTCAAATTTCAGGCTAGCGAATTATTTTGTGGGCTAGTAACTTTCAGGCATAGCTAGCCGACTGACTAGCAAAATTGGGAAACTATTTCGCACACTGCTTACAGATGCCTGTTACTGTCAAAGAACAAACAGTATGAAAACAGAATGGTGAGGAACTGTATTGGAGCAGTGATTCTGATGACTGCATGATCAGTGATTAAATGAATTACTGATCATGTCATTACATTTTAATAAGTAAGATCAAATGATATTGTTATAATGATGTTCTAAATCATTAATACTAAAACATTATGTTCAATTTGATAATGTGGAGCAGGTGCAACTTGTTTTGCCTGGTGCAACAAGGTTATTTCAGGTTAAACTGGGTGCAAATCAGTTTCATTTCTTTATAGCTCTGGATGACTGGGGCCAACACCCCATGAGGATTCTATTTTGAATATAATAAATGGTCCTCAGCAACACATGCTTGTCGTAAGAGGCGACTGGTGGTCAGGCTCGCTGACATGGTTGACATGTCATCGTCTCAGTTGCGTAGACCAATGCTCATACTCTTGATCACTGGATTGTCAGGTCCAAACTTGATTATTTACAGACTGCCACCATATAACTTGAATACTGTTGAGTGTGGCATCAACTATTTTGAATATGATTGAGTGAGTTTTGTTTTATGCCGCACTCAGCAATATTCCAGCTATATGTTGGCGGTCTGTAAATAATCGAGTCTGGACCTGACAATCCAGTGATCAACATCATGAACATCGATCTGCGCAATTGGGAACCGATGACATGTGTCAACCAAGTCAGCAAGCCTGACCACCCGATCCCGTTAGTCGCCTCTTACGACAAGCATAGTCGCCTTTCGTGGCAAGCATGGGTTGCTGAAGACCTATTCTACCCCGGATCTTTACGGGTCAACTATTTGGAATATGTCACAAGCAAGAAATGCTCGTTGTCTGAAGCTACAAAATGGAGCGGTACTCAGGACTGGTCACATGGCTGACTGATCATAACCCAATGGCACAGGGTTTGCTCATTAACCACTGGTCTGTCTGGTCCAGACTCAAATATAGATAGGCTTCCATCATGATACTGGAATAATGTGTAATACCATGTTTTCGGGACAAATGGCATCTGGATAAACAGGGTAACACTGTATTGTACCATGTTACATGTGCCTGAATATTGTAAGTTACATATATGACATAGGTGAACAAACTATTAAAAACTTTTTTTCTGGAGTTTTGATGTACTCACAAATAGTTCCAGCCATAGTCCTTTGTAACTATCTCCAGCACTTCAAATTTGGCCCCTGCACAGCTGGATATTGGTCGTATCCAGCAATCCTTGATACGACGGAATACATTCTTTGTGTAGAAACTCTCCCAACTCGCATACAGCGGTACAAAGTCCTAGAGAAAACAAAAACAAAAGAGTCAAACATCTATCATCAACATGAATCAAATCAGAAACATTTTATTTTTTGATAAAGACATCAGAAACATGTTCAGAAGGTGCTGTTCCACTTTCTGCTGCCCATTGTGAGTCCAGGCCTTGATGTTTTAGTTAACTTTTGGTGTGAGCGAGAGGCATTGTGTCTTTGTAATCAGGGTCATTACTGGGTTATTACTAGGCAAGAACTGCTGGACAATTACTTACATCATAACATGAAATGATGGATGTTGTCCACAAACACTTGATAGGGTTTTACCATACACAGAAACTTGTAAACATTATACTGACTCCGTGCTGACCAGTCCTTGTTGTACCCATTAATTTCTTTAGACTAAGTCCGAATCGTTCCCATGGAAATCATGAAAAATATAAATGCCAAAAATCTGTAAATAGCAAAAGGCACCACAAGATCTGCCTCATATATCTGCCAAGTTCTGTTGAAAGATATTTTGAACGGTTTTCAAGTTGTGCTCCTGAAACGAAGCCCACCCCTCCCTTTTGAGACTAGGTCTGAATCATTTCCATGTAAACCGAGAAAAACAAAAATGACAAAAAGCTGTAAATAGTAAAAGGCACCACTTTAGGTTTGCTTGATATATCTACCAATTTTTGCAGAAAAATATTGAACGGTTTTCGAGTTGTGCTCCGGAAACGAAGCCCACCCCTCCCTTTAACTTAAGACTAAGTCCAAAACGTTTCCATGGATTACATGCCGGGGGGATAAATGTTCGGAACAATGGTTTAACACGATAACCAAATAAAGTCAACATGTACCTTTGATGATAATGATGATTTGGTGATTCAACATGCGCTTTCTGACATGTATATTTAGCAGATGGAATGTCAACATTAAGCCATGTTAGTTACAATATCACCCATCCCATCCCTCTTCCTCTCACACACACAGACATACAGACAGACGGTTGGTTGGTTAACGCCACACTCAGCAATATTCCAGCTATATGGTGGCAGTCTGTAAATAATCTAGTCTGGACCTTACAATCCAGTGATCAACAGCATGAGCTTCAATCTACACAATTGGGATACAATGGCATGTGTCAACCAAGTCAGCAAGTCTGACCACCCAATCACGTTAGTTGCCTTTTACGACAAGCAATGGTTACCGAAGACCAATTCTAACCCGGATCTTAAACAAACATTTTATTTTTCTCCTTCTGATGTAAGCTATCTGTATCCTCACAGACCATGACAATTACACTTAATACTTCACTGTTTTGACACTTTAAATGTCAACACCAAATGACTAATTCACGGTTGCCATAATTCCATTCTACATATGCTGTACTAGCTCAGGAAACATTTTAACACTGGGCCAGCTGGTGAGAACAACACTATTAAGAGTATGAGTGAATGTGATAATGCATCTATCACAAATTGCTTTCAGTAGGTAACTATGGTGATAATACTTTCTAGTTTTGATGATGCAGAGGCTGAAAGACTGTCATGTTTACAGGCCAGTTAATCAGAAGGCACACATCTTCACATACTAATGTAATATTGCTGACTATCAAATTCATAAGCAGTTCTGCTTGGAATAAAGGAGACATATTTTTGCAGTAATTCAACAAAATGTGAAAGTCTGGTCTCCCTGCATTTGTATAATGTTTACATTTGAACACATTTATCATGTTTTAACAAAAATATATTTAAAAATATATAAACATGAGTGGAGGCAATGTGACTGAGAGAGTGTGAACCAGGTACATGATGCTCCAATATTATGACCAGTCTAAGTAAACATAGGCTCAGTATTATTCTTTAAACTGCTATACTGACTCTAACTAACCCTAGTACTAGTAGAAGGTCGCGTCAGCTAACCTTTTGAACTGACCAATCAGAACACAGCTTACCAAATCGTGCAAGTTTACATTCTCACATACTGTTTGAACCTTTACCTCAAAAACTCGAACGATTCCGAATGCTATTTTCCGCATGATTGCTTCCGAGTGATATACATAGAGGACACAATGAGTAAACAGTCACTGAACATAGCGTTTTTGTCAATATTCAAGGATGTCATCTTGTGGAAATATAAGCTAATAGTAACCATGTCATTAGAAACCAATAAGCATATATACTGCAGGTCAAATATCTGTGTTTTATGCGTATTTTCGTTTGTTGATAGATCAGTGTCAGCGACCAAGGAAGAGAAAATCCAAAAAACGTTTTGTAAGTCCCACCATCCCTAACAAGTAGTCGTTTTCTGATTGGTTGAATCCTTTTGACCACCACACGTTTGATTGGACGGTCATAGGTCGCTCAAAGGTTAGCTGACGCCACCTTCTACTAAGGGTTTGTTAGACTCAGTATAGCAGTGTAACGAATAATACTGAAGTTTACTTAGACTGATATTATTACATCACGATATCAGTATAGTATCATTGTGTCAGTATCCTTGTCATGTGGTTTCGTTTGGTTGGTTTGTTGTTTTACACCGCACTCAGCAATATTCCAGCTATATGGCCGCGGTCTGTAAATAGTCGAATAGGGACCAGACAAACCAGTGATCAACAGCATCAATCTAAGTAACTGCGATACGATGACATGTCAACCAAGTCAGAGAGCCTGACCACCCGACCCCATCATTTGCCTCTTATGACAAGCATGGGTAACTGAAGATCAATAATACCCAGATTTCATGGTTCCCTTGTCATTTGACTGAATGTGTACATGTGAACCTGGCAGTAGTCAAAATCCTAACAGCTATTTTGGAGTTTGTTCTCAAAACCTTAGGTTGGTGGTCACAATAAAATAAAATCGGTGAAACTGTCAAGCTATATTTTGTTTCGAAATGGGAAAGTATCAATATGATCAGTAGGGGCGGTGGGGTAGCCTAGTGGTTAAAGCGTTGGCTCGTCATGCCGAAGACCCAGGTTCGAATCCCAACATGGGTAAAATGTGTGAAGCCCATTTCTGGTGTCCCCCGCCGTGATGTTGCTGGAATATTGCTAAAAGCGGCGTAAAACCAAACTCAGTCAGTCAGTCAGTGATCAGTAGAATTTGAAAAATGGCTAATTTCAAATACCTAAATTTTATATGGTATTTTTTGTGAAATGGTACAGGAACCATACTTTCATACAGTAAACTATGATTATATTGAACATGCTCATAACAAACTCATGGATATAACAAACTGATTTTTTGCTTCTGTTAGCTGTATATTTTAGTCAAAATGCTCATAACAAACTATGGTTGTAGCAAATGAAACTTGGTGGCCCCTTTGGGTCACATGCACAGTAGAATGAGTTTAGTTTTAGCAATATACCAGCACTATCACGTTTGGGGACGCCAGGAATGGGCTTCCCTGACTGACTGACTGACTGAGTTTAGTTTTACGCCGCTTTTAGCAATATTCCAGCAATATCACGGCGGGGGACACCAGAAATGGGCTTAACACATTGTGCCCATGTGGGGACTCGAACCCGATGGGCTTCCCACATTGTACCCATGTGATATCGAACCCAGGTCTTCGGTATGAAGTGTGAATGCTATAAGTCACTAGGCAACCACACCGCCTCTCCAGGAAAGCAACCCTGTGGTAATATCATATGAATAAATCACTGATCGAGATTATGCATAGTATGAATTAGGGCTGCAATGAATACACTATGAGGTGAATATGATATGTATCGTGATTGAAGGGTCATGAATATGTATTCACGAATACAATATCAGCAGGATCGAAATATTACTTATAAAGTTACATATTCGGTGAAACAGTAACAGAGTTCCAGCAATATCACAGCAGGGGACACCAGAAATGGGCCTCACACATTGTACACATGTGGGGAATTGAACCCGGGTCTACCCCACCACCCCAAAACAGTAACAGAGTATATGTCATGGTTTGATCATGCTGAGATCATGACAAGTCACAACTTGTTTCCTATTCTTTTTTCCCACCATTTTTATTCACATGATACCGGGTACATTCATAAATTACTATGCAAAGGTCATACATTGTACATGTTGAAGAGTCGTGACACATCAGTCTATGCTGTAAGTAATGCTAGCCATTTGCTCATACATTCATTTGGTTGTTTTTTTTATTCTGGCAACATATCTTTCAACTTGAAAGATACATTTCAAGGTAGCACTGAATTATTTAAAAGACACAGAAACAAGTCACAACTTCACCTAATGTTTTGCTTGAGTGCAACTTCAGGGGCCTTGGCAAAGTAACATAACCTACGCTACTGCACACTTGTATTTTGTTTCCATTTTGCATATTTGCTTTGATAAATAAGAGATAATTTCAAGTGAAAAACACGTTTTCTTTCAAGAATTCATCATTATTCAGTACACTTACAGAATACCGGATACCTAATTATATACATTCTATTGTGAGCGTGAGGGTCCTATATATAGAAAAAACAGAGAGCGCGAGCCTGCTAGCGATCCAATAAAAATACGAATTTAAGGTAAAAAATAAGGTTAAAATTGAATTCCTCACCTTACTTCCGGTTTAGGAAACCTAAACTGGGGATTTTAACAGCGTTCACCGACGTAAACAGAGTAAAAAGTAATCATGTGTTGAAATTTTATTCAAATGCATGCTGGGAAAAGGAACTCTACAGTGTGGGAACACTCTGATGGTAAGTGTTTTTTGATTGGTAAGGTAAGGTAGGTAAGGCTTTTAAATAAAGGGGGGTACCCCCTTTACCCCCATTATCTTACCTTTTTTTAGCTTTAATATTTAATATTGAACGCTGCTTCAACACAGCCTTCATTCATGGCGTGCCGTTGCTAAGGAAACAAAACGGAAGTGCGCAAAAATAAATGCACAATCAAAATAAAAATGGCGGATAGGTATCTGGTATTCTGTAATCTTGCCCATTATTCTATTGTAATGACCACAAATTGAATTCATGAATGGATAGAATTCCATTCGCTGAATCCACTAGTGAATCATAACAGTATCCCTGATATTCATTTT